AACAAACAAATTTTTGAAATCGATAAAGCGCATGATAGCTCACGTTGATCAGTCTCGCATATTAATTGGGATAACAACACCAATATGGACGGCAATTTAAATTTGTGCAAATTACAAAAACGACCAGGTTTCAGCAGCAGACGCTGCCTCGATTGGAACTGAGTGCTGCGGTGTTAGGAGCCAAACTCACCGACAGGGTCAGATCGGACATGTCCTTGAATTCTTGCATTACAGGATACTTCTGAAGTGATTCCATGGTGGTATTGACACGGATTATTGCAGCGGCATCAACATACCATACGTTTGTGCTAATAGAATTGCCAAAATTCTGGCAGTAACAAGTCAAGAACGTATCATCGGCGAACAAAGCAGCAGATTTCCTATCACCTCTCCAGCAAACTAGGCGATCATAATCTGTGGTTCTACAGACCCCTCTTTTTGCACGGGTCAACAAGCCAATGGCCCACCCCTCCGTCCTTCAGTCCTAGCGATCTGGAAAGAAATCAAAAATGTATAAGCTTGCAAATTTCAGCAAACATAATTGGACAAGAACTCTATACCTGCAAACGCAGCAATTCATTCCATAAATTGCAGCTAATAATAATTGACATATAAGTTGCGTTTTTGCCACCAACCAAACAGAAAAACAACGTCAACTGTAACCACAGGAGAGCTGCAACTGCGTACCATACAACAAATAGAGTTTTCTGCAGAATTACAACAACTACAACGTTATAAAACGGTGGACAAGAAAACCCGCATAGGATCATTATCTCCTGTATTGGACGAGGTTGGTTTAAGAAGAGTCGGAGGCGGGTTGAAAAAATTAGTACGTCCTTACGTATCAAAGCATCAAATGATCCGATTGTAAGGATGTTGCTATGGGAGATGCATGAAGAAAACATGCATGCGGAGCTGTGGCCCTACGGGCTACTGGATTCTCAACGAAAAGACCATGGCCAGAAGCATAATTCACAACTGTGTAAGATGCACCAGAGCAAGGCCCAAGCTGATGCAACAGATACCTGCCAGCCGAACAAGTCACACAAGCACCTCCATTTTTAATTTCCGGAGTGGACTATTGTGGCCGAGAAAAAGGCTAGATAAGGCATACATAGCAGTTTTTTGCTGCTTCTCTACAAAGGCAGTGCATCTAACAACAGATGCCTTCTTAGGTGCCTTGGGACAATTCCTAGGTCGCCTCGGCAGATGTCAGACCATTCATTGCGACAACGCAACAAACTTCGTTGGTGCGAACAACCAGCTTAAGGACTTAGAAAATTCCATTTTTGCAGAGATGGCTAAGGATCAGATTATAAGTCATTGCAGCAAACGGCAAGTTGATTTTAAATTCATACCTCACGAGCTCCGACTTTTGGAGGACTGTGGGAAGCAGCGGTAAAATCCGCAAAAAGATTGCTGATAACAACCACATCAACAGCATCACTGACATTTGAGAAGGTGAATGAACCCCAGACCAATTACACCGATGTCGGCTGATCCCAACAACACAACAACTCACTCCAGGACACTTTCTGATTGGCGAACCACTAACAGCTCCACCTGACAAGACACTTGTTAGGCGCTGTTGAAGCACCTATTTTGCTCAGCTGAATATTTACAAGAACTTCAGCCCCAGCACAAGTGGAAAACAGAAGCGCCAAACGTTAGCGAAGGAGTATTGAGGTTGGTAAAGGAATATAGATTAAGAGAACCGTCTTCGAGTAGCTATTGTAAAAACAGCCTCAGAAATTTTCAAGCGTCCCATCACTCGGTTGTCGCCGTTATTCCCAGAAGATAATTGTTGCAAACGCGCCAAGCCCGAAGTTGAGTCCCTTGAGGGTCCCAACGAGCCACCAACACGTCGGCTTACCTGCAAATCTCAACTATACAAAGAGACAAGACTAGGATATTTGGTCCTCTTGGACTTTTGGCACCCATCGTAATTTAATTTGAATTATTGTTTAAGACTCTTGCTTTTTAACCTGAACTGGGTTGATACTGCCGAGCAAACTGGCAATAATTGTCTAAAATGGCAGACCGATTTAGACAATCTTTACCAATTCCAATTATCTCGCTTTGATGACAACGACGTGGACCACATTGAACATTGATTTTCCGATGCATCAACAAAGGCCTACCCTGCCGTGGTCTACAGCAGGATGGTAAACAAGGATGGCTCAATTTCGGATGCAGAAATTAGGGTGGGTCCTCTAAAACAACAATCGCAAAGCGGCTGCACTTTTTCTGAGCCAACTTTTACGCTCGATTTCTTCTGGATTGCGACACAAACATGTTACTATGTTACTCCTCAATAGTTCTCTCTTGGAACATAGGAAATTTTAGACACCATTCCTAGGCACGACTGACGTCACGTGGACTCCAAATCAAACCCTGCAGACTGTGCATTCAGGAGTCTGATGGCAGTCGATCTGGATGACTTTCATTTGTGGTTGAATGGCTATTTATTTATTTATTTACTATCCCAGTGCGACAAGGTTAAGCTTTTATTTTAAATATTCTTTAATGTTCCTGAGGCGTAAAGTATATTAAATTAAATGTTGCGGGGATGAGCTTATTAAAGAGATAGAACTTGACGCTACTATTAATTTGTGCAAATCTCTAGTATCACAGTGACCAAAAATCTCGATCCCAACAAAAAATGTGGGGATTAGGCTTACTTTGGATACTAGCATCCTAATATGGTGTGGCAGATAGTCTTTTGATGCAGAGAGGTTGGAGGACAGCGAAACACCCTGCTCTGAATTTCAATTTTCTCGACCTTATGTTCGTCAACTTCACATCCGAGACTACCAGGCAGTACCCAAGGCACTGATTGGACTTCTGATGCTCCAATTTTGGTGTACAAATGCAAGTGTAGTGCGCTCCTGCGTGCATTGCGTGCGATATCGTCTAGTCCCAGTCATGTGCGCTCTGCCACCTAACCGGATATCCGCGGAAAAACAATTTCGTCATGTTTTAGTCGGTTTTTGCGATACAGTAAATACATATTTGCGTATACGAGGAAAGGGCTCTTAAAAATCGTACATAGCTGTATTCGTAGGCATGGCTGTTAAAGCAGTCCATATCAAAGTTGCTTCAGATGTATTAACAAACAAATTTTTGAAATCGTTAAAGCGCATGATATCTCACGTAGACCAGTCTCGCATATTAATTGGCATAACAACACCAATTTTGTGGGTGGCGCTATTAAATTATTCGAGTTAAAAATGTTCATGTTTGACTCAAGCACTTAAGAGCACCTATTAAATATATTATTCCGATGCCGTCGTCGGAATAGAAGAAATACTTAATTTTAGACCTTTATCACCGCTCTCGACTGACCCTTAATGGAGCTTGAGATTAGCGTGGTCAACATATCAAACTTAGAACGCTATGACCAAATCACGTCAGTTAAGCAGTTTGGAGCCACTGTATTTATGAATGATAACGAAAATATTTATTTTATATCTTGTATTAAAAATTTTATTCTATTTGGTATAAAATATTTAATGTTAAAAAAATAAATATCTATATTTAAATAAATTAACCAGTATTACACTTTGAAATATTGATTAGAAATGTAAATATTTTATTAAAATTACTTATCAAAAAATTTTTGTTTATTTTTTCTACACGCGTTGTTTAGTGTTATTTAATTAATGCACAATATGGGCAAAAGTTACATAGTCAGTTCCGAAAACATTAAAACTAAAAAAGTAAAAAATTTAATATTCTTTAAAACATCTAAAATTTGAATAATATATCGAGGTTATAATGATTTTCAGCTCAATTATTCGGTCGCTTCTCTGTAAACTATACGATATCGTTTTCCGATGTGTATTAAATTAAATGCATAACTTTGCATTATTAAACCAAATAATTAAAAATAAAAAACTTAAAAAAATAAAAAATTCAAGAAATTTTATTTTATTTTATTTATTTTTTTTTTACTCGGATTGTTTTCATGGAGCTATATGATATAGTCGCCCGAATTTAATCAATTTTGAACTTTAATTCTTAAACAACAAAGCATTACTAAATTTTGAAAAGCTAAAAAAATATGAAAAAACATAAAAGTTACAATTTTTTGTACATTTTCCCGATTCGGAGACTTATCACATAGTCGTCCGATCTGGCTCGTTTGTACTTCCTGCAATAGAAAGACAGTTGTCTTTTGTTGGGTAAGTTTCATGCAGATAACTTTAAAACTAGACTAGTTTGAGAAGAAAAGGGGCAGACAGACGGGCGAATGGAGGGACATGGATAAATCGACTCTCCTAGTGATGCTGACAAAGAAAATATACACTTTAAGGGTCGGAAATGTTTTCTTCACGACGTTGCAAATATCTGGGTAAAATTATAATACCCTCTGTTTAAAAATAATGTTGTTGACACTAAATAGGCGCATTGTATTTTCTGCCAGTTAAGGAGACAGTTCCGCCAAAATTCACCATCCGCCGTGCCTACGCTTTTCCGGTCAAACTCTCCCCCAAGTCTCCGTCCGCTCTCTAGCGCACTACACGAGCTAAGCTTAAGGTAATTCCTATTTTTAAGTGTTCTAATAAGCACCCATGTCACGCAAAAACCGAAAATTACTCAACTTCTTATATTTTTCGCATTCCTACGTGAGAACCGATTACCATTCGTCTATTCCAGTCTAAAGAAGCCACCCCACATTTTGTCCTCCGAGCCGGATTTTCAATTCCATTCCATAAGGGTATCATTCCAATCATTGAAAAATTTTAACCATTTTCCTAAACAGACCACTAAGTTCGTTTCCCATCAAAAGCTAAGTTCCTAAAGCTAAACATTATAATAACTTTTATTTTTTAATACAATCTGCAACTTCTTATGCATACATATTTGCTTCTTTCATTCATCTCCCTTCGTTCGTTTCCAATACACGAAATATATTGTTACGTACGCCTAATAGACTGACATGTCTAGGTTCAAACTCGGTTCCATTACTCTGCAATTTGATAACCGACACCATAGGTTATTGTTCGACAACGGAATGGTTGGCTTTGTTCAGAACGTTAAATGGATCTGAGTACAATTATGGGAACAGTTTGTAAATAAAACGGCATTTGAATTGAAATTCACCTTCTAACATTCCTAAACTTAGACCTCTATATAATGGGCTACCAAGCCAGAAGAAAAAAACGGCGGAAGAGAAGCAACGTAACAACCCAAGCTAAGCCCTGAGATACTAGGAGGGATGTTTTGCAGATAAGAGCAGTATATTCTGAGTGGAGAAATCCAGGACACGCGAAGAAGACCCTTGATAAACAGGTACAGCTCGGCCAGCTCAGCTTTTAATACAAAAATAAGCCATTATCAACTGCAATAAAAAAAATAGATCTATAATGATAAATGAAAAAAGATTTTAATGCATTAGAAATTCAAATGAATGAACAACAATAACAACTTAAATTATATAAAGAAAGGAGTGCAGTGAGCAACGTTATTTAAGAAGCAAAGTCGCAAACGCCAGAACTCCGGGCCGGAGTATTTTAATATCTTTTAATTTTTTTATTAAAAAAAGGATGGAATAAATCAGTATAAGTTCCTACATTTATTTTACCATTATTTTTTTTTTATTTATGATCTTTTCAAAAAAAATTTTGTTCACAAATTTCAAAGTGCAAGTGTCAGCATAACTGTATCACAAGCGGACTTCATGTATGTGCATGTTAACACTGTTAAGGAGTAATCATAAGTCGATACAGATCTTGGGTGATTATTGGATCACCCTAGTGTTTAGTTGCAAAATCAGCATAAACATCTTTAGGGGTCGTGCCTGGTTCTTGGCGGTGCACGGTATGGTGAGTTATGTTGATTTTGCTAGTGTCAGCACGAGCGGTCGGCTTGCCGGCCGCGCATAGCTTACGTAAAGTCATATATGTTTTCAGTGTTAATTTGGACATTTAATAAAGAGCATTGGCGTAAATGTAAAACTCCGGCAGAGGCCGTCAACACTTACTCTATTAATTACAATTGGTTATCGAGCCTTAAGGGCCATTAGCAACGGAGTCAGTTACTTCCAACGTAGTCTTCGTAAGAAGAGAGAAGAGAGCCATTGGCAACCGCCCGGCACATCCATATGAGCAGCCAGCCACGGTGGCAATTACGTCTTCACCCCTTCCCCCGGACCAGCCACGGTGGCAATTGGATCGCAGCTCTTCACCCTCACGGACAGCGGCGAGGGACAGTGCGAGGCTGCACAACTAAAACATAATTGGCACCCAACTTTAATACCGAATCCGCGACACAAAAATATGTAAGTGGGCTGATCAAAATTAATACAGTAAAACTTCAAATACACATACAGGGAAAAATAAATAAAAATCCATACAAACTATTTACCCAAAATTAAAAAGTATACAGTTTGAATAAAGCAATTGTAAAGGTGACTTACAAATAAAGTGAATTAATATCGGCCGTCCCTAAATAAAATTTTCCTTCGGACGCCAAGCACCCAGTTATTAATATAAAATTATAATATACAAAATTAATATGTCGAATTAAAACATTCGGCCTCCCAATAACGTATGTTTAGTGTCAACAAATTAGTCGCCTTATGAGTTTTCCAAGCCCATATAAGAAAACTAAACACGAACTTGACAGTGACAGTGAAGAAGAATTAATCCGAGATACCCGGAGATATCAACCAGCACGGGCACAACAAGAAAGTAACGCGGAAACCATGCACGCGACACAAATAGAGGCGTTAATTCAGGCCGCATTAACTAGCCAAGAACAGAGGCTCAGAGCCGAATTCGCGGGTCAGATCAACGCCGTTAACCAACAACTTCAGAGCTTGCGTATAGAAGCGCCAGAGGTAGAATCTTACCAGAGGGTAAAGGTAGTACCGGGAGCACCACAGTGCGATATACCATTACATATAGTGAAGTCGATTCCAGATTTTACTAGCATACAAGATGAGTACGTGGCATGGAGGCAATCCGCCACTGATGCCTACGAATTATTCGAGTCGTATGAGGGCAGTTCCGCGCATTACCAAGCCGTTACTATTATTAGCGCGCACTGCTAGTTTCCTATAATACAGTGCTTAATTTTAAAGCCATACTAGCTAGATTAGACTGCTCCTACGCAGATAAAACATCTTTGCGCCTATTACGGCAGGGACTTGATTCGGTCCGTCAGGGCGACCAAACACTTATGCAGTACTACGATGAAGTCGAACAAAAATTGACCCTCGTTACAAACAAAATTGTCATGACACATGACGACGAAAGGGCTTCATTACTCAATACAGAAGTTAGGGCTGACGCCCTACACGTATTCATTTCCGGTCTAAAAAAATCACTAAGGGCTGTTGTATTTCCAGCACAGCCAAAAGACCTGCCAGCAGCACTTGCATTAGCTAGAGAGGCAGAGGCCAGTATCGAACGAAGTATGTCCGCGGCCACATATGCCAAAGTAGCTGAGCAAAGAAGTCAGAATACTGATTTTCACAAGGGCCAGCACCGAGCGCCCGAGAAACAAGGGAAAAATCCTGGTGCCGACCGCGGACCAGAAATTTTCCACATTTCTTTAAAAAGCCGAACAAGTATCAGAACAACGATACATGGCATAAACGGGACAACTGGGTAGATCAGGGTAAGCAAAATCAGTCCCTGGAACCTATGGACATTGATCCATCATCTTCTAAAGTCCGACATCCAACGGGTTTCAAACAGGGAAACAACACTCAATACCAAAATTTGCAGAACCTAAAAAGACCAAACTCTTCGGAGAGAATGACTGGCCAAAGGCGCCAGCGGGTTAACAACTTTGAGCAAACTGCAAGCGCGGGAGAAACTCAAGATTATGAAAGCGCGGCCACAGCCGCACTAAATGCAATTGACGATGACAGTGACTCATTTGACGGTAACGACCTCGTCAATTTTTTAGAGAAAGGTCCCGCTTGCCCTTCATTGAGCGAGGGCTGGCGGGGAAAACTATAAAAATCCTATTAGACACTGGAGAGGCAAAGAGTTATGTAAAGCCTTTAAAGGAGCTGAAGAACATAATGCCTGTCGACTCCCCATTCACTGTGAGTTCCATTCATGGCTCCAGTAATATTAAAGAAAAATGCTTTATGCGCATATTCGGCCTAAAGGCTCAATTTTTTTTACTCGATACTATCAACACTTTTGATGCCATAATAGGTTTCGACTTGCTAACGCAGGCGGGAGCGGCATTAGAATTACATAACAGTGTAATCAGGTATGGAAACATAACTGAGAAACTCAAATACCACGAATGCGATAACGTGAACTTCACAAATATCGATGACTTAGTAGTCCCAAATTCAGTGAAAGCAGCATTTAAAAAATGATCCTTAAGAGAAACAAGTGTTTTCGCACTCTAACGAGGCGCTACCTTTTAACACCTCGATCATCGCCACAATTCGTACAGAAACTAGCGAACCAGTATATTCCAAACTATATCCTTACCCCATGGGAGCAGCAGATTTCGTTAACACAGAAATCAAACAGCTGTTAAAGGATGGCATTATCCGGCCTTCTAGGTCGCCATTTAACAGCCCAACATGGGTTGTAGACAAAAAGGGACTTGATGCAGATGGCAACAAGAAAAAACGGCTGGTGATCGATTACAGGAAACTGAATGAACGAACCATCACCGACCGTTACCCTATGCCAAGTATTCCTATGATTTTAGCGAACCTAGGAAAGACAAAATTTTTTACTACCCTAGACTTAAAATCGGGGTACCACCAGATTTATCTGGCAGAAAAAGACCGTGAAAAAACTGCTTTCTCCATAAACGGAGGAAAGTATGAATTTTGCCGTCTACCCTTTGGACTGAAAAATGCGGGAAGCATCTTTCAAAGGGCGATCGATGACGTTCTACGTGAACAGATCGGGAAAATTTGTTACGTTTATGTAGACGATGTGATAATTTTCTCCGAAAACGCTTTTGACCACGTTATACACATTGACACAGTCCTTAAATGCCTGTGCGAAGCCAACATGAGAGTGGCACCGGAAAAAACCAAATTCTTCAAAGAAACTGTAGAATTTTTAGGTTTCATTATTACATCAAACGGAGCCAAATCGGACCCGGAAAAGGTAAAAACCATTCAGGAGTACACCGAACCAAAAAAATTTATTCAGCCTCAGGTCTTTTTTAGGGTTGGCCAGCTACTACAGAAGTTTTGTCAAGGACTTTGCTACCATAGCCAGACCACTTACCTCCATACTTAAGGGAGAGAATGGCACGGTTAATAAACACATGTCAAAAAAGGTGGCTATCGAATTCGATGAGTCCCAACGCAGAGCGTTCGAGCGCCTGCGAGACATTTGTCATCAGAAGATGTGATATTAACATATCCAGATTTCATACTTCCTTTCGATTTGACCACCGATGCCTCAACAAGCGGTATCGGCGCGGTACTGTCCCAAAAAGGCAGGCCAATCACAATGATATCTCGTACTTTGAAAGACTGTGAACTCAATTGGCAATTGTTTGGGCTATAGGAAAACTACAAAACTACCTATACGGCACAAAAGAGATCAGGATTTTTACGGATCATCAACCTCTTACTTTTGCTGTATCCGAGCGAAATACAAATGCCAAAATTAAACGATGGAAGGCATTCATCGAAGAACATAACACCAAGGTATTCTACAAACCCGGAAAAGAAAATTTTGTGGCCGACGCTTTGTCACGACAAAACATAAACGCTATACAAAACGAACCCCAATCTGACGTAGCCACTATTCATAGTGAACTTTCCTTAACCTACACGGTCGAATCCACCGATAAGCCCCTGAACTGCTACAGGAATCAAATAATCCTGGAGGAAGCAGAGCAGCCTTTACGGCGACACTTCATAGTGTTCGGGACCAAAAACCGACACATAATCCAATTCAATAACAGGGACTCGCTGTTCGAATTGGTCAAAGAGGTAGTAAACGTAGACGTTGTTAACGCCATTAACTGCGACCTCTCAGCACTAGCATGCATTCAACATTTCTTGGTGACCGAATTCCCAGCAACCAAGTTTTGGTATTGCAAAAAATTCGTGAATGACATCACGGATGCAAATGAACAAAAAGAAATAATTATCTGCGAACACAACCGTGCTCACAGGGTAGCCCAGGAAAATGTTAAACAAGTACTTCAGGATTACTACTTTCCAAATTTGTCCAAACTCGCCAACGAAGTGGTTGTAAACTGCAAAACATGCACCAAGAAGAAGTACAACAGACACCCCAAGAAGCAAGAGCTGGGTATGACACCAACCCCCTCATATGCTGGCGAAATGCTGCATATAGACATATACTCTACGGATAAGAGACTTTTTTTAACCTACGTAGATAAATTTTCAAAGTTCGCTGTAGT